AGTGGTACAAAAATTTATCTACAGAATGAGTGTTTCTGGAAGAGCTCCAGAAAATCCTGAATAAATGCCACGAAATCATAAATATAATTTCCAGAATAAAATGGCTTTTCTCCCAATAACAAAAAATCATCCATTAATTTTGTTTATGTTGATACATCGCGAAGCTAATCATCCCATAAATATTTAGGATGGTCACGAGAAGCTGAGAATAGAAGTTGGGACTGGGACAGTTCTCTCTCAGCAGGACCATACGAATGCAAAGAGGGAACCGAGGAAGATGGAAATGAAAAGGGTCCTGTCGGTGTTTACCTATGGGCCTTGTCGCACGGTAGTTAGGGCCCACTCGTTCCAAAAGCGGCGTGCATAATCGCGCAAGCGAGAGGAATCTCTCATTCGTGTACACTTTATAATGTATACACACACTTGGAGTTTTTCGGTGACTGAAAATAATGGGAATGCGAGTCGAGTGAGAAAGTCACTTCTCAACGCGCATTTCCACTGGAGTGCATTTCAGGGAAGTGTTTCGATCCTTTTTAAATATTCATTTCTATATTTAGAAATTTTACTTCATAAAACAGATGGAAATGTGAGAACCTTGTTTTCTCACACTCTTGAAAATTTCTTGACATTTCAGTCACAAAGTCGTATGAATGTTTAACCGTGTGAGTTTTTATTGAATTTCGAAAAAAAATCGTTACTAAGTTTCTCATTTATCTTGGTAATTCAAGAAAATTTGATTTTTTACGTTAAATGTTCATTGATTTTATCATCGTGATGCTTATCCTGAAAATTAGACATCAAATATAATTTCCAATGAATTAAAAATTGAGAAAAATTATTGCCTGAAATTACTGTAATTTTGCTGTAATTTTTGGTGTAACCAAAGATTGGAAATAATTTCCATTGATTTATTGAAATGATAATAATTTTTCTCTCTCGAGCTAGAAAATTATTTCAACCCGAACAAATAAAAAAAAAATCATACTCCCGAGACATTTTCCCCGCATCTCCATCCAATTGGAAACATTTTATCTTCCCCAAAAGGCATAAAATAAAAAATCAATTTGTTTTCAATAACAGATAATAACATCCTACCCATTTATTCTCCCATAATCGTGTATGTCCGAGGTTAACCAGAGCTGAATTTACGCGACAATTTGCTGGTGAATGACGCCTCGGTGAGATGTAAAATGAGAAAGAGTTGAGAAATGATGATAACTTGAAAAAGGGCCCCCCAAACGAGTGAGGAGGAAATGCTGTAATAATATGTAAAAGAAAGAAGGAGAATGAGAGATTTTTAAACTGTTGTGCGCACACACGTTGCAGGACATTTGTGTTCATAGTTTTTCGCCGTGGGGCAAGACACAGGACGGCAACAATAAAGCCAGGGGGAACTGTTATACGACCGCTTGTAAAATCTTACGAGGATCGTAACGCGATGATGACGAATATAACGATTCTTCAACATTCAACTGCTCAAGGCGCGCAATGCGCCACAGAAGAACCTCGTAGGGCCCACCGTGGAATTGTACACATGTGAATTATACCGTTATCTTTTTATTTACTCCATCGATTAATCCTCAGGGTTCATATTTGCCGAGACTAATTATTCTGCTTTCGTCTATTAGTGCTTTTTACCATATCTCTCTTCCAATTCATTTTTACTCACGTAAAATTCTGTCTCAGAAACTTTGCGCCAAACAATTCATTTTTTAAAATTTTAATAACTTTTTAAAGTCCATTTACTAATTTATCATTTTTCAAACTCAAGGTTGCAGGAGGAATTGTCGAGGCACTTTGAACCCCTTAAGATTATGGATATAATCATTATGTATGAATGCTAGTGTATGGCCCCATGTTGGAAAATTTTGGGACTTATGCGCACGTAATAAAATGGAAATTCTTTCATCTCATTCCCACTTATAAATAAGAGAAAAAACTATTAAATTTCAGTGCCCAATCGGAAACAAAAATTCAAATTTCTACTATCCTCATAATTTTTCTAACTTCGGTAAATAGATTTTCTTGATAATGCCATTATAATGTTTTAATATTTGAAATGCATATTATTAACCCTGTAATACACGTATGTCAAGTACATAATAATCTCAAGATGAATGTCATGAAAAAGCATCTACCCCATCCCCTCAATTTTATTAATCACCAGTAATTTGTAGCCATGAATGAACACATCCCCATGAATGAACCCCTCCAGAACGAACCGCTTGACGAATCGATTTGTCAACTGCATCTCGTCCAGCCCCACAAAATTGACCCATCCGATCCGGGAAATGAGCTAGCTATAACTCATGAAGGAAACAAGTCCCCAAATAAATTGATCCACCAAAAAAAACCATTGAAAATGGAATTTCAATGCCTCCTGTCCAGATAATTTTCATTCGGAATGGTTAATTTTTTTGTTGAGGTCAACTGGTCAACGCATCCAGCACGGGGGTAGATTGTGAGTTGAGATAGGGTTCAGCTACTTAACTTAACCCTTGAAGCAAAAATTCAAACTGAACACGAGAGGTGGGCCCACACACCAAGAAAGACTAATAGCCAACCAAGATAACGCTCTTAAACACTTTGCCCAGCCAATGCCTCTTCGCCATAGTCCATTCCCCATCGTTTACTTATCTAACAAATACGTTTTTCTCTCATTCTCTTTTCATTTTTATTTTTCTCTCAATTTTCTACAGCTCCTTTTATTTCATTTTCAAACGTGCTACCAAAGACGATAACACAAGAAACTTGTCCAAAGAAAATAAAATGAATTTTCAGTTTCATTCGTTTTGCTCTTTCCCTGCCGCCTCACCCTTTTCTTTTTATTTTTCTCCCCTCAACCCAAAACACCGTAAACACTATTCTCATTCACGATATCGAGGAAGATTAATAATGAGGTACCCACGGTTGGGTATCCCCGGGAACAAACAACCATAGGAGGAAAGTCCAGAGGTTATCGACTCATCTCCTTTTACCTTTCATTCTTGTACTTTTTTTGTTTCAATGCCCTCTCAGTACACCGGTTCTTTATCCCCCTGGACAAATCAGTGGCTTCTTCAATTTTTTTTTTATCCTGGCGAGTGAGGTTTCGGGAATTTTGTTGATAAGAAAATTGCGTAAGACGTTCGGGGATTCCGTGATCGGGATAAGATAACTCTCGTTGTTGACTGTTGTGAGCAATTAATCATCAGGAATGCGTCACTCATTGTTAGATATCGATCGAATCAGTTCATCTATACGGGGTTCTAAGTAATGCCTTTCATTTTTCCTTCTACATAATATGGTAAAAATGCCTATTGGGAGAATGATAAGACTATCTGATTTATTATATATAAATCTATGGGAAAATTGAACGCCTAGAATTTTCACTACAATGTAATAAACAATTCAAAATAACAAAAGACTGAATGAATTACAATGCGTTTAGTACATCTTATTCCGTTACTCTCATTTGGTTCATTATTTGCAGAATTAATTAATCATCATTAATCAAATTTTACGAAGAAATGCAAACTTCACTGCATCGATTACGATATATATTAATTGTTTATAGTTCCCAAATGTGTCCATGAGCTTGGTTTAATCATCTTGATAACCTTGGTACGTGCCCAAATAACACAATAGTAGTTTCCCCTTTTTATTTTGTACACATACCTGCAGTCCACAATATCGAAAAAAAAAAAAATTATAGCCACTTGGTAATTGATACTACAGTCGGCATGATAAGAAGTAGAAACTTCATAAATCACGAGGAGAGAGTAAAATACGAGACATAATTACGATTGCGTCATCGTGAATTGTGAATTGATACTCACGGCGAGATGTGATACTTTAATCGGCGATTTTCATTACGATGCAGTATCTTTTGCACTGTCTGCACGCGATTAAATGATGTATTCGGATTAATCAGTAGAATGACTTGAGGTGTTTATTGATAATATTTTAATCTAAAAGGTGCTTGGGACGATAAAACGATGTAATTATTGTGGGAAGGTGCGTTCGTACTGATTTTTCGACCTTCCGATAGAAACTCCGGCCGTTCGCCTTCCACCGACGCTCGTCTCGGTCAATTAGTGCTCATTAGCGTAGTCGGTGGAGAACTGAGGTCCCGGGTGTTCACCACTGATTGATTTACTTTGAAACATTCTTTTTTTCACACGCGAGAAAATTTAAACACTCCTGATGCTAATTTGTTAGATTAATTTCACATGAGTGTCTTGAAAAATACTTGGAAGGCAAATTAACAAAATTTTTTATTTGTCTTCCAAGAGTTTCCTCTTCTCTAGGGAATTATTATTATATTTTCATCGATAGTTCAATGGTAAAATTCTTTGCATATTTTTTTTGCTTGCCTCCTTCAATCCACAATTCATTGATAGAATGCTGAAATGGTTTCAAGATTTAAAAAAATCTTTCATTAGAAACAGAAATCGGAGTGTTTTACAGGTTGAAAAATATATCTATTGAATTCATGTTTTGAGTCATTTTAAAAACACTCCATCATGTCTCGTTTTAACTGCATCGCCTGGTTGATGGAAGAAAAAAAAAGTCCCGATAAAAATCTTCGGACTGATCCTCCCGGTTTCAATCTTTCAAACCTCTTGAAAGGAGCTGGGAAAAAAATCGAGCGAGAGAGAACGAATGAGTAGGATAGAGGAGATGAACGTGGGTGGATTGTGTGCAAAGATTCAGCCTAATCTGACCACACTTCGAACAGGAGGAGAGAGAGAAAGAGAAAAGCGAAGGATCGAGGGAAGTTATATGCCGATGGTGGATGTCTACCCCGACGGGGTAGCCGTGTTTTGCTGGGGGGATCGTGTTAAGGAGATTTACATTCATTTTGGATCCTAATAACCCGATCCCGAAGATTCTGAAGGCCGATTTGGAATATGATACTGCGGTGCTCGTCGTCTCGGTATCATCATTTTTCCCTTTGAAAATTATCCTTCAATTCTCTAATTCCTGAGCATTCAGAGGATTAAAATGAAGAAAAGAAATTCGAGTAATTTTCCATCAGTTTCTGAAGAGGAAAAGAAATTCGTAGTGAATTTATGAAAGACAATAAAGAATTGTGTCAATTCGTCAATTTTGAATATTGAATGAAAAATAATGTTAGAGTCAAAAAAATGATGACAAGTGTATCGATCTCCAGCAATCGTCCTTGACGAATAATTTCTCACACGCAGACACCTGCTCACACATTGATCTTCCTTCGCACTCTTAGCCACAAGACCCCAAGGGCAACGAGGCATCATACGATTGAAGTCGACGGGACGTCATCACCCGGGTTTCACCCTCTCCTCTTTCTCCATTTCTCATCATCATCGGTTGCATACGAATTTAGGAGTCAAACAACACCCAACACAGCCCAACAAAACCTGCAAAGTGAAAAAAGTTAACAAGTGATCGACCAAAAAAAAAGACAAATTTGTTGTGTCTTTTATAGGTTAATCCGTTCCCACCGGACAAAAGAGGATTGGCTGGGTTACCCACACGTCGTGTCCGATATTTTTCATTTGATGAAGTCGAGGGGGTAATAAGGATGTAACCCGAGACAATATCGAGACACCTTTTCAGCTCTTTCCAGGAAATATGTCTCGTCATCGAGAGTATATGCTGCCCCGAGTTGACATTTCAAAAGTGAAAAATCGAATTCAACTGTTCTCGCTGTTTATTTTATTTTAGTTGTTTTTTTTTAACTAATGCTTCTTGCTTCTTGTTCTCATAATGGAGTGGGGGAGAGTGAGCACCTAACATGAACCCAACGATAAATCTCCTAGTCGCGAGTATTATGCGCGCCCTAGCGGATGATTTATCGTTCCGGTCCCGGTGATTCATTCGCGAGACCACGAGGGGGCGTCAGCGCCATATTTACAAAATAACATTTTTACGATATCTCTCCTCCTGCCTATTTTTATTCACTTCAAATTCTATACCAAACGCATTAAACTAAAGGAGACAGAATTTTTATCAATTTTGATAACACTCCAAGGACTATTAGCAATATTTTAATCCAGAAAGTGGTCAGGTTACCGAAAGACAAAGAAAAATGTCATATAAGGCCCAAAATTTTCAAAATTCCAAGTTTGAGGATGAGCTACTAAGTTCGGCTCTTCAAACCCGTTGAGATTTCACAAACTATAAATACCCATTTAAGGCCTAAATTGTCAACATTTTGGGACTTATCCACTGAATAAAATTGTTCTTTCCACTTTAAATGTTATTTCCACTGATGATAAGTCATCAAAATTCTGTATATAAAGCTGAGGATACAGTAAGGCCCCTAAATTCCACCTCTTGTTAGATACAATGTCAATAAGACCCAAAACGCTCGTTTTCTCTTCTATTAATAATTTGGGAGTAATTGATTTGTAAAATAATGGGGACTTACGATTGTAAATTATTTTATAAATTAAATAATGGAGTTTCAAAAAAATTCCTATTATCAATTTCTCTTAAATTCAAATTGTTGTCTCTGAAGAAAATCGACTGAAAGCTGATAAAAAATCCAACAAAAATCCGATCACTCTGAAAGGCCTATTTACAATGTTAAATAACCGAAAAGTCGTGAGATAGGTCACACTCATCATTCCCCCGTGTACTTAACATTGCGCGAACGTTCCATTCCGACGAGAGGGAAGAAGAACCTCCAAATGGAGAGAGCTTGGCAAACACTCAAATACACGAATGTAGTCAAGCAACAACTGAAAGCCATGCATTGTTGCCGCGTCATCTCTGACACAAAAATGAGTACCTCCATTCATATAAATAATCAAGTTAACAAATTAATGTATTCATGATTGTTTTTCATCTTTTATTTTCTGCCCATCGGAAGGAGGAAAGAATAACAAAAATGAAAGGAATCGTTGAGTAGGAAATTTTCTGAATGAATCAACAGAAGGGTGATAGTAGGGGAGGTTGAGTGGCCAGAGGGAGGGATCGGTGAGACGATCAGCTGGGCGGAAAGGGTGAATGAAGGAAAAGAGAGAGTGAACGTAGATGGGGAAAAGAATAAAAATGTCCCGTCCTCTCCACGGATTCTCAATTCGGTGGATAAACCAAAAGACAGAGAACGTAAAAAGGGAAAAAAAGCCAACTGTGAGAACGATATGAAAGATATGGAGGAAGTGGGGGTAAGGCCCCGACTCGGTGGGACCCACACACGGTGGGGAGAGAAGTGGGGGCGGAGCCCTCGCATGGTTATAACCCGTGGTGAGATGGCTTGGGCACTGCGGTGAGGGCCCCATGGAAAGAGGATGAGACCCAGCTCGCGCTTGCCCACTGGCATCACCATCTTATAAGAGCCATGGACCCACAGGGCCTTAAACCCAACCCCTTTTCGCGGATACTCTTGGTCGCTCTTTATGGTTATATTGGACCCTCTCGTCCATTTTTTTTTTCTCTCTTATTTTCAATTAGAGGAGGGCAGCTTCACATCTAATTCCCATCTTCACGGTAATGACCTACGTGCCCTCAGGAGGAAATTTCATGATTAATCAGGGAAGATTGTGAGGCCCAAAAATTTTTATCCTGAGACCTCTTCGTTTTCCATTATTTCTTGGGATTTAAGTTTTTTGCCCATTAAAGAATGACGAATAAATCCGTGCAGTTCCGACTTGTTGGCAAGGCCCAAAAGAATCGATCATCAAAGTTTACCATTACTATTCCCCGGGCGTTGTAAATGTATCTTGTATGTTCGTTGGAGCAATCTGCGAGGTCAACTAAACAATACTAAGATACATTATGGGGCTCCACAGTGAAATTGGGCCTCATCATTTTCCTGCAGCGGAGTTTCTGAATCTCCTATAGTAAATTAAAAAAATAATAAAAATGAGAAAAATATCAAACCACAAAACTACATCGGTTGACCGTTCAATTTCTCATCAATAAGGCCCAAAAAATAATTATCTTAGATCGATCATATCCTTCAAAGTTTCGACAAAAAAGACCGAAAAATTCGGGTAAAGGAAGACGATAAGGCCCAATCTCAATTATTTTTCAACCTGATGGATGGTTGATCCTCAACGAGAAGTTTCCACGTGCAACTATAATTGAATGTGGCAAATCGAAGAAAGAAAGTAACGAGCGAAAGAGAAAAATAAAAATGATGAACGTGCAGGCGAGAAAGGAAGTAGAGTTTCATCCTCCGTGCATTACCACTCTTCATAAGGCCCCCACCATTCCGATCCATAATGTATGATTATACGGCATCGATGTGGCATATGAGTAGGCGTCATGAGTTTGTGCGATACGTGCATGATTGACACGTTGTAATTAGCCGTAGACTTTATAGCCCCTGATCTTCCTTCGGCACTCAGGTAGTGTGATTGAAGCTCAGCCAAGGGGTATGCAAAAAACAGCATAAATTATGGTAAATAAATCGAAACTGAACGATAAAGAATCAAATGTGAAAAAAAAAGAAATTATCGAAAGGAGGAAGACGAACGACTTGTGAAGGAATACGTTGAGGTACCAACACACGTTTCTTCTACGTATAGTCTACGTATATTCTACGTACGTTCTGTATTGAAAATTAAATAAAATGCCATTCCCACGTACAAATGCTGTAGGCCGTATGAGAGTATCTTGGGCTCCCCTACGGGATATCTCTCATGAATATATCTCCTCTATCTTCTCTCCTTTATGTACCCATAACCACACTTTTGCCCATTGGATCTTACCCTGTCTCCATGCCTTCTTGTCAAGTGACTTACGAGGAGGTGGACAAGGTAAAATCCGTTCGTCGACTTTAGTACGTGTTTCCATTGTCTTTTGCAATGGCGCTCGCCCGCCCTCCACTACGGCATCAGAAGAAATGAAAGGTTAAAAAGAAACGAAAAAAAAAAACATTATGATGGCGCCACCTCCGGGGACCCCGAGCATCCCCACATTTTCGGCACTTCCTTTGAGGTTACCAGGGCCCAATGTGGGTCTTGTACGTGCACCAGATGGGACTCGTCACACTTCTAATGTCTTTCCCCTTTTATTCCATGAATTGATCACTTTTTTTCATTTATTGGTCTATTTTCTTCTAGATGATTGATGCGATAATTATAATCGTGCCATTATCGTCTAGAGTTTAGACATTCATGTTTTGAAGAAATGATGATAAGTGACAAATTTTTAATTATAGTTAAACAATTTTTATTATTCCAATGACCATTAGGTTATTGTTAATTTCATGAAGAGAACTTGGGTTTTATAAGATGATAAATTCTGCTATAAATTTTTCACGGTGTAAGTTTTCTTTGAGATAAATAGGTAAAAATTCAAAAGATTATGCTTTTCGAATTTCCTTGACTTTTGACAAAAATATCCTTTATCCCAACTCAGTGAGTCCTGTAAATATAAAACGAGAATCTCCCTTACCGGCAAAATGTTTGTAAATAGATGTAAAATTTTGGGAGGGGCCTTTTTTCGTTTCTGATGGCCTGCTGTGCCAACATGGAACCCCATCGGGCACCGGTATATTGCATGGGTCCCCCCGTCCGAAAACAGTTGTGGTCGTCGGATATCTGTTCTCTCCCTCTCATACAGTCGGCCATTCTTACCTTTATTTTATTTTATATATATTTTCTTCTTATTTTTTTCTTCTTTTCCTTTACGAACATACTATGGCCTTTTATCTCCTCGTTCTGGGCCTCGCGGGGCCTGGACTTCTCTGACCTCCAATCTGTATTATGTGTATGCCAGCCATATTGGATATTTCGACGAATTTTTTATTCTCACATAAATTTTCGGGTTAATACTTGAATCATCAGCATTTCCTCCGACTACGAGTGTTGCAAAGAAATTTTCAGCGTGCCGAAAGATGCAGAAAAATCATGAATAGGGCCCAAAATTTTCAGCGTACATAATTAGATAAAAAAAATCACTACTTTAGACGTGAATTCTTAAGGCGCAAAAAAATGATAATCCAAGTTTATTTAGGACATGAGGCCCCAAAATTTTCTTCCATATTTTTGTGATGACCAATTGTCCATCGGCTTACTTTTGTCTCACGTAACTTTGATGAGGCCCAGGTTTAGAAAATACTTTTACATAAGATTCACATGAATCTTTAAGGTTTCAGGAATTATCCCAACGAATTTGAGACTTGTGTGAACATAAGGCCCAAAAAATACAGAAAAATGGTTGTATGATATTTTTTTAGGATTCTTTAAAAAGAATTCGCGGAATTTGTGCATAAGAAGACGAGAAAAATGGGCAGCTCCTTTTTCAAAAAAATATGAAAAATTATCACTGCCTTATAGATAAATAAAAAAAGGAAGCCATTAATCCACACAGCCAAAATAAAAAGGTCAGAAAATTGTTGTCAGTTGATATCCATTGTATGACACACATCCCCACCCACGCGATAATCCAAAAGACGTACGTCCAATGCACAAACATTATCCTATAAATATCCAACGTTGAAAATGTATCGTACGCTCTACAAGAATTAGCGTAGGTATTCTTGTTGAGATGACACAGTTGAATTTCACCGTGACCCCCTCTTTCCTGTATTGTCAAAATGACACCAGTATATCTTGACTGTCTGGTAGAAGCTAATCGTTACACCGCAGGACTTCGGGCCCATTCACAGGCTTCTCTTTTCAGGCCCTCAGGGGCATGGGCCCTAATAACAGACATTTTTGTGGCCATTTTATCCCCGAATTCCCAGTTGACTTTTCCACTTTCATTGTCACCTGGTTTTTCCCATTTTATTTCATATTTTTTCATTGCCATGAATTTGCATATTTTACTCCCCAAATTTGGGGCCTCACGGCAGTGGGGATGAACACAATGAGTCAAATGGTTTAACCAGACATCAATGAGTCGAGGAAAATTGTCTATTGATGATTTATCAACTGTAAAAGCTCGAGGGGTAGCTTGGTGGGAGGAGAATAAATAAAAATACTTAAGTGACTTTGAAAGAGATTTTTTGGCGGCTAAAGTCAAGGGGTTTTTGTACAATTTTGGCTTCTCGCGCCTACGGATTAGCCCCCTGGGCCCTCGGAAAACTCTTCGTATCGATGTTCTCATTTTCTATCCCTCGGTTCCTTTCTTACATTCATGGGGTAAAAGTTGTGGCTTCACCAGGTAAAACATCCAGAGGGTTTGAAAAAATATTTGGATGTTTCGGCGTTAAAAGTAAAAGCCCCGTCCTTTATATCTATTTTTTTCTCTCTCATTCTTTTTTCTCTTGTATTTATACTCTTGTTTGCCCCTTGATTTGCCACGGGCCGGGCCTTTTCAAGGGGCTTCTCCTTTTATTCTCATCTTTCTTGTGCGTCGGTCACTGGTCAAAACAAGCATTCATTTATCCGGGGGTTGGCTTTTTTCTGGAGGGAGACGGGGGTGGCCTGACGGTGCACACGCACTGTCTTATCTACCCTCTGGGAGATAAAAATTATTGTAGAGAATTATGAGAGTAAACAGATGGAAATAAAATGTTGGGCTTTTGGGGTATGAAAGTTTTATGTTTTTTAAAATTTTTTATTGTTTCCAGAGGTGCAAGGAGAAGCTCAATACACTGGCGATATCGGTGATGAACCAGTGGCCTGGAGTGAAGCTCAGGGTGACTGAGGGATGGGATGAGGAGGGCAAACATGCCACTGACTCTTTGCATTATGAAGGTAGAGCTGTGGATGTTACGACCAGCGATCGGGATCGCTCCAAGTATGGAATGCTGGCTAGGCTCGCTGTTGAAGCTGGCTTCGACTGGGTCTACTATGAATCCAGGTCGCACATTCATTGTTCTGTTAAATCAGGTCAGTATTACCTATCATTCTGTTCGCCAATTAAAAATATTCCTTATTAAAAATACAGATGTAACGAAAAATCACCGTTTTTCGCTGAGCTTACAGTGGCTAAATCATTTTGTTTCCAAAGTTATAATATATATGTGGAAATATTTCAGGAAATTATATATATATAAATTTACATAGCGCGGAGGAAAATTAAAGTTTTTCGCACAATTTAAAAAAATGTGTCGTGTGTTTTTCATTTAAATTTCTGAAATAAAAATATCGTGAGGAGGATAATTTTTAAAAATAAATATTTACGTGCAGTTTCGCGCGCTAAATTAATGTAGCATGAAATAAGGCCGAAAAGTATCTAAGAATTATTTAGAAAATGGAATTTCCCATTAAATTTCGATTGGTATAAAAGCTATATCCATTTTTGTCACTTGTTTACGTTAAAATGAATGAGAAAATAACGTTACAAAAGTGAAAAAATATCTACACATCAATGTCTCGGTTCGAACCTCAAAACTCGTGTTAGCGAGGCGCCGAAACATTAAATCTCTGATTTAGTGGAAAGCGGAAGGCTCAAGAAGGCAGGGGAAACGTCGCGTAAAATGTTTGAAGTAGACGCTTAACGGATGGCACGGTTCAAGATAAAAAGGAAAAAAAAATATATAAGAATGATGATATGAGAGGAGTCAAAATGTCGGCAACTCAAGATGTCTTATAAATTCTTATTACATTCTGCTAATTCGTCGATAATTCAATGGTATAAACGCTGGGCCACTGTTGCTCAGGGAGCGTGGAGTAACGACGTCGTAGAATTTAAACGATCGTATTTCTCGTTTTTTTATCGAGCAATTATATTGACCCTTGCAATTTACATTTTTTTGGAATTTTACACTTTGTGAGTGAACAGAAGAAAATCAAGTGGATGATAACGAATTTAATACCCGATCGTAGATCTGTTTCAAGGGGAAAATTCAATAAATCTGCAATGATTTTCCCAATCATTTTGTCGAATAATCACGAATTAATCAGCGTACACAGTGAGGAGATGACTTTTTAAAAATTCATTAAATTTTATGCTCAATTATCCTAATGGTTCTTAAAATTCAAAGTGTATCTGAATGTCATACCATTCGAGTGTCAGCTAAAAAATGAAATATTATCGAAAAATATTCATTGATCATAAAAAATGATAAATTATTTATCTGAAAATCTACGTACATTCGACAGATAAAATTCCCACGTAATTGATAATCCACGATTCCTACGAGAAACGTCGGTATTGACGATATGAAAGTGATATTGAACATCGATTACTCGTGTTATGAGTGATCAATTAACTTGGTGTCGAGTGTCAAGCAGTCATAATATTATCAATTTTCAATGATTCTTCGCGAAGTTTGAATTTCAATTCGGGATTCCTGTTTGCAAAATCACTGGTACCTTTTTCCGTTCGGGATCACGCAGTTCTCTTCTTAATCGACAACAGAAATCGCCCAGAACTGCACTCGATAACTGAAGAACACCAGATAATTCAGTAAATAGCGAAGTGATATAAACTAGGATAAGTATATTTTTTTCCATACTCGTTTCCAGTCAATATTTCGGAATTCGAAAAATAGCGAATTATATATATTATATATATATATATATTATATATATTATTTAATTTCGTGAAATCGGCTAAAAGCTGGCTGGAAAAAAATTCACTTATGAAAAAATTGTCTTCCCACTTTGCGGCAATTGATAAAAAAGAGTTTTACTCAATAATTCCATTTAAATTGAAAACAATAATTTTTCTGGTCTGAGCGATAAATAATATGGGAAAATATCAACCGAGCACAGAAAAAAAAGGCAAATTGAAGATTGATTTTCTAGATTCAAGAATTGACTTATAACTTGCATTCCAATGAAATTTCAAAGAATGGAGTTGAATTTCAGAAAATAATACCTAAAATACCTAAAATTTGAATTTTCGACTAGACTATTTTTTTTAACGTTTTCAAACAGCTTGTGAATTTTGTGTAGATATTTTCGAGTGAAAACTGATTTTTACGTTAGAGGAGAAAAGTCACTTTTTTCATAAATATTGTAATTTTACTTGTGTCAAGTCTCCGTAAAATAGAGGATTATTTGCCTTGTTAGTGTAAGGCGTCGGGTTATTTGATATCAGGATGAATATACCCACGATCTGCCACGTCGAATTAATGACGAAATAACTCGTCGAATGGTCGTAGACGACAGGTGAAATTGATACCCCTGGAAGCTGGATCCACGCGCCTTGAGTTTTCGATTGACTGACTCCATACGTAGAATTACCCAAGTAATTGAGGATCAATAAAAAACCTGAAGGACATTGATCAACTCAATATTCAGTTACTGGTTGATTCCTTGATAAATTCATTAAATATCTATAATTGAATCTGCGATACATCATATTAATTGAATTTCTTTGCATCGAAAGCCTCGAATTCCCACGCACCGCCGACACCTCGGAATCTCCATCACCAACCGTTCACATATTTCCATGCATATTCATCCGACCCAGACAGAAACAACGGTTCTTAATCATTTTAAAATCCAAGCTGTATGGAACATAGAAATGGAAGATTTTATCATCTTGCAATAACTTCAACTTTCCCCTGCATGACTCATAATAATGACATTTCCGCGTTAAACGTCGAATTATCTCGATACGCCGAGAAAAATTTACAATAAAATTTATTGAGACGCTTTGTAATCGCGTATTGACTTTTAACACTTGAAATTTCAAGTAGAAAAATTTGGAATTTATAACAACGATAAAGTGACAACAATTCTTCGTGGAATTTTTTGTTGAATCAATTAATTTCCGGAATATTCTGGTGATTATCAATTTGCAGGTAAAAATGAAAACTCGTAATAACGCTCAACATTAAGATAAGGATTTCTCAGAATTTTCAATCTATCAAAAATTCTATTATATTATTGTAGTTGATTTTGAATTTTGAGCGCGAGTATGAAAATTTTGAATTTTGAGCGCGAGTATGAAAATGCATGCCTAGAGATAAAATTCATTGAATAAATTAATTAACATTTTGCGTGAAAACCCCGATTTCCTTGACTTCTGCAAATAAATTAGAAATCCCATTAAAATGTTGAATTGAAATTGAATCCAACTAGAATAATTAAAAATTTTGATGACTGTGTGACTGAAATTTGAAAAAAAATTTTCTTAACCACGCGATTACTATTTATCAGTATAAATTTGACAATAATTTTTTCCGTGCACTACGTTTTATTTTGTAACCTGAGGTCAGAGAAAATTTGGAATTAAATTTTGAATCAGATTACTTATGTACTTATGTAAACGATACAAAAACGAGATATTGTAAGGGTGGAATAGACTAGAAGAAATCCCGAGGATTATTATTAATCAATCGACCCTCGCACATGAATCATTTCAATTATAGGTGAATAATAGATGATGATCCAACCAATTTCAATGGAAAATTCGTGGCTCTCATCATGAATGACTCCACAGGCATTTCCAATGCCATTAGAACGCATTTGTACAAACCCGTGGCCCCTGTATCGGTTTCCATTCGTGTTAAAACCTCGAGGGGATTATCGATAAGCTGAATTTTTCCATCGCGATGGGAGCAATCTGGGTGTCAGAGAAGTCGTTCTCGAGTGTCAGAATGAGGAAAACAAAACTCACATTTTTTTCATTTTTTTTTTCCTCGTGGGATGAGACGTGTTAGGGTAGCTCCAATTACCTGATCAGTACCAGTGATCTGAGAACTTTCCTGACAAGGAGAAATGGATGGGGGTTTATTAGATACTTTTTTAATTAATTTATCAATTTTTTTCTTAGTCAAACCGCAAAAATTGAATAATTATCACCGAGTTCACTTGTAAATTTATTTTCACAAATTATAAATTACAACTCATTGTTTCATTTATTTATTTTATTTCATTTCCAATAATCAATCCCTCATTACCAGACCGAAAAGAAAAGAAAAATTTTTTTTTAATAATTTTTTATGTAATTGTAATGTGTAATTTTTTTATATTAAGAATACGAGAAAGTGTTTCCCAATTTAAAAAAATAACGCTCTTAATTGTTGATGCTTTCAGAATCGTCCTCAGTAGGAAAATCCGGAGGTTGTTTCCCAGGAAGTAGTTCAGTGCTAACACCAAGTGGTCCAAAGCTCCTGTCCTCCCTAGGAGTTGGTGAGGCGATAGCGTCCCTGGACTCGGCCGGAGAAATCGTCTTCTCCGAGGTGATAGCCTTCCTGGACTACGCGCCCTCATCTAAACGCCAGTTCATTCGACTGTCGACATCATCAGGGAGACAACTGACGCTGACGCCCTCTCACCTGGTACCAACAGAACCCAAGGACCTGAAGACACCCAGTAGTATCATCTATGCAGCCAAAGTTCAGGTGGGAGACAGGATTTTGGTGAGAGACGACGACAGAACCCTGCCTGGTGGCTCCAGAGTCAGGTGGGATGATGTCATCGAGGCTGAACTCGTCCTGGAGGAAGGGGTATATGCGCCTCTCACCAGGGAGGGGACAATAGTTGTTGATGATGTAGTCGCCTCGTGCTATGCAATCGTCAACAGTCAGACAATCGCTCAAGTTGGCTTCTTCCCACTGAGGCTCCTTTCCACTATTACTGATGGACTCCAGAGTGTTAAAGACTTCTTCTGGCACTCACATGGTGGCCAGGACATCACCACCAACGAGATCCAAGGCTCAAAGTCTATGAACTCGAGGTGGAGACAGCCAGAGGGCCTCCACTGGTACGCCAACTTCCTCTACTCCATATCCACGTACGTTCTACCCTCCTCCATGCTGTACTGAATATTTTTTATTATGGAGATGGGATCCACGTGGACAACATACCGGTGTTTATTTTTTTTTTCTTGTAAAGAATGATTGGATTACGGCTTTAGAGGGGTAATTTGAAGAGAATTCTTTCGTTGACTGATGAATCGGGGAAAATGTCGTTTTTTATCTGAACTTCCTGAACTCTTCAGCGACCCCACGACCGTTAAATTAAAAGGTCTCCGCGATAAAAAAAAATATAAAATCAGAAGGAAACTTTGAAGCTAGAATTATTAGTCGGGAATGTGTAGAAATTTCCGAAATACAGCTTGAACAATTCTCTCATTTTACAGAAACAGGATAAAATGAGTTGAGGTATATTCGAAGAGGGGAAATAATTTCTATAAATATTTTAAAATGCGAAGTGGGACAGGTGTGAATGCCGCCATGTTACTTGCATACTCTCTAATTTAAAAAATGGCGGTATCACACCTCGTATTTTCAAACAACTATTAAAATTATTCATCTTCATTAAATCACCCTCAAATAGTTCAATTCTTTTCCTATAAAGTGAACAATTTTTTAATGTAATTGTGCACATAATTCTACTCGTTCTTTAGCTGAAAATTCATAGACAATCGTTTTCTTCTCCTTTTAGTGATTTTTTAAATCCCGAGCCTTTTAGTCCCATGATCATCTGTAATTAGGGAATTATCAGGCAGTTCGTCCAAGACGAACTTTCTGACGCTCGCAACGGTGAGTATGCGAGGCATAGAGCTATGATTATTTAATAAAATTTTTTTAAAAAACAAAGTGTAGAAAAAAAGTCTTAAACAAAAGTTGGCCAGTGTTCATCTACTCTGTACTCTTTTTTTTCCATTGATTAAATTAATTAAATCCAGTGTCTCCAGTAGTCATTACTCGCTTATTCGAGGTTAACTGCGACTGGGAAAATTCTGTAAATAAAAAAAAAACGCCTCTATTTTATTGTAAAATCAATGAATGTTATCATTAATAGTTATTGATATTTTTATCACGGTAATTAATATTTTTTTAATTCTATCATATTTATCGGGTGACCGTAAGCGACTGTACTATAGCCTCTTTCCTCTCTATTTTATTTTAATTATTAATTATTATTAGCTTTGTTAGAAATAACGAGTAGCGTTTTAACGAACAAAAAATTAGGAAACAAATTGGGAAATTGATTTCAAATGAGCAGCTCCTGTTCTTAATATAATGTGCTATTTTTTCATGTGAAATGCTTAAGTTATATACCAGAAAAAAAATAAATAAAAAACACACAGTGTGTTATTTTTATGAATTATTTTATATTATATTATCGATTATTCCAATAATAATATTATTTGTATGTAGATGAAACAAATTTTATAAATTATGTATATATATTGACGAAAAAAATAGACTCATACCACGAAAGAAATTTAATATTGCCGTTTATTATTATTTATTTATATGGAACACTCCTCCTTTATTTAATGAGAACAGAAAAGTTAATATGGAGATATTTCAAGACGTTCATTTATTTTAATTTCCGCTTTTATCTCTTCTCATCCCATTCTGTTGTGCGTCTAATGTCTTCAAGGAAACTGGCCTGGGGGAATTCACAGTGAATCTCGTCGAAACTTTAACCTTTTACTTCCTTTCTAATTCGAGAGATTAAAAGACTTCAATCTCAGTTTAATTCACTCGGAATATCCATTAGTGTGGAAGTGATAGTTCTGGATTAAAGCTGTGAACCGTAGTAAGTTGACTTTTTTTATTTTCATCATAGCGAGTTAAAACGGTCTGGGGGATTCAAAAAAATTACTGGAAATTACAAAATAATTTCTTTCGATGAAAAAGGATGATGCGAGTTGAATGCGATTTGTGAAGGACAAATAATTTTAATAAATCTACAAAACTACGAGATGATTGGCAGACGCTGGTGCCGCCATCTTGCTTCTGTATACTTGCGAAAAGGGCTCGGAAAATGGCGGCTCCTACACCTCGTATTTTCTATCAATAATTAAAACTGTTTGTCCTATGAAGATCACCCCCAATTTGTTTCATCCTGCTCCTGTAAAGTGAATAAATTTTTCCAACTATTTTGTAGATATTTTTTTTTTCTTTCGAGACTATTGTCTCCGCAAATCGATGATTCCAAAATTCTCATTAATAAACATGAAATATTGTGCAATATTTTCCGCTATTTTAATATAGGTATGAAATAAATTGCAAGAAGTACAATGGAACCACCGCCTCCACCGCCACTACCTCCAGCAACACCTCCAGATGATGAGGACGTGGAAGAGGAGTCTGAGAAAGTGAGACGAATTACTTATAAAAAATTACTTAAAGAAGCGCACGGAGAAAAAATTATTCATCCTGATCGTTTTTATCCATTTTTTTATTTTTTTTATCTAGTAAAAACTCCTGTAGAAATTACTCCGTTTCTATGAAAGAAAGGAGAAGTTGTAATATTTATTATTTATTATTAAATTAATTTTTAAACATTTTTGGATGAACAGATTGAAGATACTTCTCAGATTCCAGGCGTTATCTTACCTCAACTGGAGGAATTGGAGAAGCAATTCTTCGAGCTTGTGGCGAGTGGTAATGTTATTGGTGTTCAGGAGTTTCTCAACACAAATGAAGAATTCCGTATCAATTCCGCTAACTTTCAGGTAATTACCAAGAGTGGTGATCAATTACTGCAAAATTCTACAGAATAAAATAGGAAACCCATCATTCAACATCATTTTTTTAAATATCGCAAGAATCTAATAACTTCAAAATTACTATTTATTGGCATAAAAAAAATATTTAGGAGTTTTCCGATAGCTTTATTGCCTAGGCATAATTGTGTCAAATTTTGCACGTTAAAAAAAAAGTATGACGGTTTTTTCTGGGAAATTTCACACACTCATTTCCGGGCGGGTAAACTGACGGAAAATATTCGATTAATTTTGAACGATATATTTATAACGATATAGTGGTATCTGACAAATTATTTTTCCACTCGGATTTGACTAAGCAGAGTGCAGGGAATAGCATTGTGATATATTTCCTCAATCATGCAGAACGGAAAAATCTGAAAGACTGAAATGGAAATTGAAATGAAATAATTCGAGAAAAATTTAACCTCGTACTTTTATTGCCCTAGGGAAGTAAGTGTCCGGTTATCGCCTTTCTTTTTACTTACCTCCCTTGGGCAATAAAAATAATATAAACTTAGTAACATAAAGTAACATATGCCCCACGGTCTGAAAAGTATTTTCGCAACTTATCCTATTCTAAAAAGAACAATCCGATTCTAAAAAGAACAAACATCGAGATTATCGATATCTCGAAAGTTTTTCGGGCTTATTCCTCATTGGTTCAGTCGTCTGAGGCGGGTAATTTGAATTTGGAGCTTTCTTAAGTTAACAATTTTTAATCACGATTTTTATAATCACAGCGCGCACTAGCGCGAGTTCGTTCTCCTTTAATGAGAATCCATGCGGATTTTGATAAAATACGTTTCCAAAATACTTTTCAGCCCTTGTAGCATAAATTACTATTCCATAACAAGTCCTCGAAAGCCACTCATTTTGCAATTACTTTCGGAATAATCTCCTTTTATATCTATTACATTTTCTAGAACTGTAGAAATGAAACTATTTACTAGCCTCGAAATCTGCCCTATGATTGGCGGAACACCTAGTTTGAAAAGTGATCAAGGCAATTCCTTTCGGAATCGATGGTTCATTGAATAATGGGAGAAACCAGGAGACACTTGAACACCAAAATGTAATAATTGATTCACAGTTTTTCAACAGGTGGGAATGTATTTAAAAATCGATCCATCATGCTGTCAACCCCTTAGTCCACCTAGAATTCACAGAAACGTTCGGCCCGAAGGTTATCCACAAAAGCGATAAAAGTCTGGAGAAGGCAATGGAAATAACTGTTCCTTCACCTTATCTTCAATCTCCACCCCTCCAAACAAGAAAGAACATGTTATACCCCCTATTGAATATTTCACCTTCGCCTATTCCTCTCGGGTATTTTTTTCTTCGAGGTTCTCTAGTATCTGCCGCTATAATTCAATGGCGGTGCCTTTACAAGACAATGATTTCAGGCGATCTTCGAGGATAACACGAATATTACAATAACCTAAATTCCTCACTTAAATAAAATCTCTGAGTCTCAAATTTTAAAACATCGATAATTAGAGCAGTTCGAGAATCGAGAAATGAAAAAATTTACACTTCATCGGTAACTGACTAGGAATTTTTAAGAGAATTTCAGTGAATTCAATTTAGAGCTACAAAAATCGATATTCCAAGTTTCACTCGAAATTTTACAATATTCAAATATTTTTTTCTTTTTCCAGGGAAAAAATTTCATTTTAATCTCGTCTTATTGAGTAATTAAACAGGAATTTGTAATTACCATCGACTTTTCATATAAATTTCAATGGAACTAGAAGTATGACTCATAATTCTATAAAATTCTATAAAAAATACCCCATGAATACTCGAAAAAAAAAAAAAACAATAACCACTACCACGAGAAAAATTAATCACTACGGTCGCCATTTTCACGTTCTCCTGAACTCACGAAAAAATTTATATAATAAAAAAACAATATTGCATGTAATTCCTCCCCAAAAATCGCGAGTTTTCGGCGGTCTTTTAGTCCAACCTGAGTGGAACAATTTGTTCAGAAATTTTTCTCGCCTCAGAAAAATTTCCCTACAAATATTTCTCCGTGCATGTAAAAATTCTATATTTGTTCATGTAAAGAACCGAAAATGTCGGCTTTTTCAATGATATTTTATTGTGAAGAAGCCTATAAACACCAGAGCCCCATGGCAGGTCGAAGAATTCCGAGAGAAAGAGGCGTCGAGGGAATTCTCACCGGGGGACAGTGTCACCTTTGTCGGCACAAGAATACACTCACCCATGTTTTATATTTCTTTACGTAACCAAAAGAAGTCCCACTCCTCCATTATCCTCATGTTGTTCCTCGTCTTTTGACTCTCTCAATCGTACCCTAAACACTGTCCAATGGCGCACGCGTATCTCTGGGTGGGCCTTACCAATGAATGGGACCCAGTTTTTCCATTCTCTCACATTTCCACCATTTTTTTTATTCACCCAGAACCTTTCGGCTCTGCATATTGCTGTCAAAGAGCGGGATGTGGCGATGGTCGAGTTACTTTTGTCACGCGATGATATTGATTGCGGTGATACTGCACTCCATGCAATTAAAGACAATGAGCAGAGAATTGCCATGATGATTCTCGACAAGATGGAGAGCCAGGTGCCGGGATCACAGTTCACTGGACCAATTGATAGCTCGGAATTTCCCGATGCTACAACGCCGATGGATGTTGCCGCCAGTTGTGGACACTTCGAGCTCATCAAAATGCTCGCGGCTAGAGGACATGTCATTGAAGAACCGCATCCACCTAGCTGCTGTTGCGATGAAATTTGCAAGTAAAATTTTACGATCACTGATTCCTCTGGGTATTAGAATATTTGGGCACAGATCCTCCATTGTTGTACAAAAAACTACTCGACAAAGATTTATGACATGCTAGGAAAAAAAATTCTAGAAGAAGTGCTAATTTATGATCGGCTGTACTCCTCATTCTTTCCAATTGGCTTTAACGATTTTTTTCATTTTATATATTATATTATCTTATTATATTATATTTTTTATATTATCTATATTATTCCTATATTATTTTCACCTTCAAAATCATTATTATCAGCACTGAACATTTAAAAGAATATTATCTCTTATTGAAAATGAAATGGAGATTTTGATTTTCTTGATTTTATTCATTTTATTGATGGTTATCTATTTTTAATCTTTCCAGACCAGAGAGAGAAATCGAAGATCCATTAACACTGGACAATAAGCGATTGTATCGTTACCGTGCCATTGCAAATCCAGCTTACATCTGTCACACCTCGCCCGATCCAATTCTCAAGGCCTTCCAGCTGTCAGTTCTCCTCGACAAAGCCGCATCTTTCGAGCGTGAGCTTTATAAATCTTACAAACAACTGTCCCAGGTGTGTTACAACCAAAATCATATCCTCTTCTTTTGTTAAGTGGCGCCTGTTTTCACATTAGGAAGTCGCTTGCTTCGCTGCTGAACTCATTGGTTGTGCTAGAAAGGCAGAGGAGGTAGAGATTGTACTTCAACAGCGGGGAGGAAATATACAGGCGAGGAAATTTATTTTTCCGAGACTTCTATTTGCGGTTGAGTGCGAGCAGAAGCTCTTTGTCGCTCATCACAATGTCCAACAGGTAAAGTCCATTTTTTTTTCAATCTGTTTTTATCTGCAGACATTTTTTTATTAGAAAACCTATTTCAAAAGAAATTTCATGGACAGTTGATTACTCATTTTCTATGTAGTACCGATGAATGCGATTTAGGGATTCGTAAGTCCCAGATTGAGAAGTCTCAAAGAAATTTCAGATTTCCGATTTTTTGCAGGAAATTTCTTATCACATTTTCTCCTCAAAGCAATAGTTTGAGAGACCAATCGGTATTTAATAAATATGCATTAAAAAAAACATTTAACGAACAATCAGGACAGTAGAATCCCGTTATAGTCGCACTACTCCTCAATTTCTTCTGACGCGTATAATTTATTATTTTGTCGAGAGAAATATTCAATAAAATAATTACGTGTCTGCTCGTAATCTGCGAGTCAAAGCAGTTCAGTAAAAATTACGGAATAATTACACGTTTTCTCATTGAGCTTCCATATTTTTTCCTCAATGTTCAGTGAAAAAGTGCGGAACAGGCACGTCATTTTCATCGAATGTTGCTCCCAGGGTAAACAATCTATTATTTAGCTCGGTGAGGGATTAAATACCGTGAAAATAATGAATGAAGCCGAAAAATAAATTTCTCCCGTATTCGAATTTGCTGTGAAAAAAAATTCAATTTACGGTCGCAGCGAGCGCGTGGTGGGGGTAGTCTCATATAGTCGGATCCTCCGAATTCGCTCCCCCTACAGCCCCATGCACTCGACTATAATGGAAGTCCACTTTATTTGATGAATCGGTTAACTATCGATTTATTTCCAAAACTATTGATTGCCGATGAAAATGTGAAAAGGTCTTTTTTCAAGCCGATTAAATTCCCTACAAAAAGGCTCACTTGATATTGTAAACTAAAATCAATAGCCTCGAAGACAAATCGATATTCACCAATCGAAAATTCGACTCCTCTCAGTTCATCTCTCGCCGGCGATTTTATTTTTTACTCTCGCTGTGGGGTAATTAAATACGATGGAATGAATATCGATGTATGACGCACCGAACAAAAATCTATTTCGAGGGATTTTGTCTAAAAATTTCGACAGTGCCTCAATTTTCTTTCAAAATTCCATTAAATTGTTCCAATGATAGTCATTTCATTAATTAAATCTCATACAACTGATTTCTTAATGTCGATTGAAAATAAAAAATAATACGAGAGGGAATGTTGACGACCAGAAAAATATCCTTTGACATTTTTCAAAAGGTCCTGAAATCAATATTTCACCAAGCTCCACCGCCGTTGATTGAATGACCTAGAAAATTCCACTGTTCTTCAGGTACTAGAAACTCGATGGATTGGTAACTGGTACGAGTGGAAAGCAAAGTCTGGTCCTGCAAAGATCCTCGTTGTCATCCAGAGGATTCCCATACTCCCAATTATCGCCATTTGGCTTCTGATTGCACCGAATTCGAAAATAGGAAAGAGATGGCAGATACCGGTGAACCGCTACATCTCCTCAGTGGCTAGTTACCTCGTTTTTCTCCTGTTTGTCTACCTTCAGTCGAGTATCGATAAGAAGAATCAGCTCCGGGGGCCTCCCGACAGTGGCAAGTGACTAATCTTTCCTCTTTACCACTGAGAAAGAAATATTTACTTCCAGCGAGTAAATGTACAAAAATACTTGAACTGCCAACTTATGAATTTTGTAATGATTAATGAATCGCCGTAGCGAAATTGTTTTTTCTCTGTAAATAGAAAAAAAAGATGACATGAAAAAATTCTCCGCCCCATATGTCTCTGGCCCAAATTTCTCCCCCTCTTCATTTTTATTTCCTACATCATTCCTCCATGTTAATATTCCTTGCGCTAATTCTCCTAATCCAATAATTCAATAAATTTTGTAGGTGTCAACATGCAATTGAACGATTTACAGTGAATACAAATTGTTGTCTTCGTGTGTTTGACATGTAAGATTTTTCGTTCTGGCCTTTTTCCTCGCCATTGATTTCGGGTTCATTTTTATTTTAAATCATGTTGTAGGGAGATTCTTTCACGGGGAATATTAACCGGCGAATTTTGGGTTACAAGGGAAAAATGTCGTGTTCGAGAAAAAAACCAGTTTCCTTTTTCTTTTGCAGGATTTGAAGTTATAATTTGTTTTTACGTGATTTCTTACATTTGGGCTGGCATCCGACTCTGCATGACGCATGGGCCGAAGAGATACTTCGGAGAACGTTGGAATCTGTAAATTTCCCACTAATTATCATTGCGAATTGCACGAATTGTCTATTACACGTTCTTTGATTGGAATTTCATCCTGTTAGTGTACAACATTTCCAATTTCGGTTTCAAGTTGTGTTGCGAGAACTATTTCAATTCTAGATTAACAGCATAAAATTCAAATGAAAGATTACCTTCGATAGATGGCACATGTAAGCATTAACAATGACTAATTTTCAATGTTTTATTGAAAATTTACTGGTTATTGCTTAATATCGTGTCAATCACATAATTGAATGACTGATAAATAATTAAAAATCTCATTACATAGCATATGCCATATGTTTAGCTGTAATGGAAAAATTCACGAATACTTTGATTACAAAAAAAAATTAAAAAAAATAGAAGAGATCAATGGTAAATTGAATTTCCAACAGATACGAGGTTACCATGCTCAGTCTTTTCATATTGACATTCGTCTTCTGGGCATTAGCGGCCATCGACGTCCGGACAAATGGTCAGAGAGACTTGGAGAGAAAATACTGGCATAAGTACGATCCGACTCTCATTGCAGAGGGTCTCTTCTGCATTGCAACTATCATGGCTTTTTTTAAACTGCTCTTCGTGTGTCAGCTCGATTACAATCTCGGACCGCTTCAAATGTCACTAGGGAAAATGATCAAGGATGTCACTAAATTCCTGTTTCTCTTCCTCATCATCATTTTTTCTTTTGCCGTAGGTGAGGATTTTATCGTTGGAAAATAAACCGAGTACTTGGATAGTTTAAAGGGAATATATTCGAACGTAAAGATTGGGATGATTTACGTTATCTTTTTAGCTTGAATGATATCAGCACTTTATTTGTTAATTTTTATCTCAGGTCTCGCTAAATTGTATCAATACTACGATGGGATGGTGCAGATCGATGATGAGTCGAAAATAAAAACCCAACAAGTGGCTTCGTTCGTGGATTTCAGGTCAAGCTTGAGGACACTCTTCTGGGCTGTTTTTTGCATGAGTGCTATCGAGAGCGCTGACGTCATAATTGAGAATCTACCGGGGGAGACGGAGTCTGAAACCATTATAAATAAACATTCATTTACCGAGGGGATTGGATACTTCGCCTTTGCCGGTGAGAAACAATATTCCACTCCAGTATTGATGGTGTTCATTGAAGGAAAAACTTTATTCTTCATCAAAACAAGTCGTTATTGGGATATTGAAGAAATAAAATGATATAAATGAAATGATAATATTGAAGAAATTTTGAATTGATAGTGGTGGCTTCAGGGAAATTGTGAGAAGACAGGAAAAAAATTATAGCATTTTTTTGTATCACTTATGGATTTCAAACTGGATTTCAATTTCAATTTCTAATGTAAATACAAGAAAGTAATGCGGTTGAGTATTTGTCGAGATATTCTCGAAATCGTGTAAACAAACAAATGGATTTTTCTCAGAAATTACTGGACCGATCTGGGTGACACGGCACCCAGAGTTAGTTTCAAGTTATATAAATCAAGGGATGAAATTTCAGATTTTTTGGGGCGAATGTTCCCGTTTGTTTGTCAATTAAAAAAAGGGACCGCTGACTGGACCCTTCCACACAAACATCCTCTGACTTGGTATTTTTTTTAATTGCAATTATTAAAATGTTTATTTGTTTTTCGCCAGGTTTCGAATTCATGTCAGTCATCGTAGTCCTCAACATGTTGATTGCATGCATGTCGAATACATTTACAGCCTTCACGGACAACGTCGCCGTGGAATGGACTTTCGGAAGAACGGAGGTTTCTTCATTATTTTCATTAACGCTTACTGAGAAAAACCAATCACTCTATTTATTAGTGTTTATTTACCTCTTGATGTACAGGTTTACATTGACATCATGGCGCAGAATGCCCTGCCTCCACCTTTTAATTTCCTTCCCACTGGAAGTGACCTCCGTTGGCTTGCCGAGTATATAAAGCTGTTAATTAAACCAACTGACACAAAGAAAGCGAAATGGGATCTCAAGCACTGCTGCTTCATCGTTAGTTTCGAATTAACACCATGAAGGGATTAATTAAGAATTAATTATCTACTTTATTTTATCTCTGTACATCATTTCGTTTGTGTTACATGTTCTTTCAGTAGACGATTTGAGATTAATCCAATCAATTCATTTTTTTTCTCCTCAGTTTTTTGGGGACTTGATCTATAGCCATTTGAGTTTTGAGAGAGAAAAGTTATTTTTCTGCAAAACCAAATTTTTTATTTAATATATTCATCTGTTAGATTTTATATACAGGGGAGCCTGGGGCACTGTGGACAGCCCCATTTTGAGATTAGAAATCGGATGAAGCTTAAATGAGATAATGTCGGCATTGTTGAGGAAAATGGGAAGAAAGGAGGAAAATAGGAAGAAAGGAGGAAAATAGGAAGAAAGGAGGAAAATGGACATCCCGACTTCTGTCCTCCAATCATAAATTTGGGTCGGACATGAATATCTTGGACTGTATAACGTTAACCAAACTTAGCGGGTGTCTGTTTTTTCCTTTTATTTCCCTCTCCAAGAAATATAAAGAGAAAATTTCTTTATCTCCTCTACATCCGGGAATATTCATCAGAAACCCATGCTGAAATCCAATTGTGACATTTCACCACTTTAGTTATCACTCTATTCTTCTAATTGACCTCATTTTTCAGAAGTTATGATTTTTCTTTTCTTTTTTCAATTTCCTATTTTTAACGTTCCATATTCCGAAACCTCAGAACCTTTCAGACTGTCTATTTCCCAAAAATTTTCGTTAATTTTACCCTAGTCTCTTCAAAGATTCATCATTCATCATTTCAAAAGCTTTAGCTCGTGAAATATAAAAAAGAATCATTTTGTAAGGGATCAAAGGATTAAGAGATCTGCGATTTTTGAAGGAGGAAAGTAACTCTCCGTCAAAAAATGAATATTTCCAGCAACGAAACATTGATTTTATAAATATATTTCTATCATAATATTAAAAATCTCAAATCTTAAAATTTGAAATGAAAAAGTAAAAATTTTCTAATTAATTCCAGGAAAATTTAAGTGAAGACGATGACGAAAAGTTTGGTGAAGTAATGGGACACCTAATGATGCGTTATTTCCGGAAGAAGGAAGCGGAAGTTGAGAAGAGTGACACCGAAGGTTTAAGAAAGGATCTCATGGAGCTCAAGAGTATCCTGAAGGATGCACTGTCAGCCCCATAAATTATCCTTCCCCATCTACGTCACATCAATTGGGATGATCTAGCGCAGAAGAGTGAAAATAATACACCCGCCAACAATGACAAGTACTCTGTATCGTTGTCTAGTATCATCATCAACGATCCAGGAATCCCGGGGGAAATCTCGATATGGCAGAGTATTTGCAGCAGAAATAAATTTTTCTACTGTGGAAACCCACTGGAATGTGAGGAAAATTATATTTTATGGCGTTTCAAATTTTATTCGAGGCGAAAACTTCCATTCCTACTTCTATGACGTGAATGAAGAGAGATTGGAGACCTGGGGAAAATTTTTGAGACTATTAAACAGAGACAAACGAGTAGAATAGGCTCATCCTTCTGGTTTCGTATCAGCAACCGTAAGTCAGAGGTTACAATGATTGCTGGGAACCGCTGCAATACTGCAATTAATATCTCCTTACAGATAAGATAATGAAGAGTGAAACTAACAACGAGAAGGAATTTAGTTTCTCTGGATGGAGTAGAATTTACTACAACGAAGAATACATACGTAATTTCGGTGAATAAAGAAACATATCAACGATATAACGTTCATTTATTATTCTTGAATGTGTAGGGAAAGGCGAAGTTCAGACCACTTATATCTGTAATTTTTTTCTCTGTGAGAAGAGTGAGACAAGTGTTTGGGATTCGAGAGGAGTGGCTTTGGCATCTAAAGAGAGAGAATTGAGTGGAGCATTAATCCTGAAATGCCAAGGGATCGTGAGGTCTTAAGAGATCTAGAAAGTAAAAAAAAAGTAACCAGAGGCGAAGAAAAATTCGTTCCGTGAACTATCTGCCAAATGGAAATAGAAATATTTAAAAAAACGGCTTACAAAATTTGTTCATTTTATAGGAACAGGATAAAACGAACTGGAAAGAGTTTGGTGAGAAAAAATTGTGTTAACGACTGTTAGAAAATACGAGGTGACTGCGCCGCCATTTGTAAAACGTGTTGTGGCAGTGGAAGGACTTCTCTGCGCAAAATGGCGGCCTCCGCTTGTCTCATCTTTGTGTTTTTGCGCATTTATTGAAATTATTTATCGTTTTCAATTTTTATCTCAATTTTCTGTGGAAGAATTACGATACCGTCACGTAATAGTAATTCATGACGTCGGAAGAAGTTTTTTTTAAAAATTCCTCGCACTGCACGCGCCAATTTGTTTCAAAGAACGATACCTACATATTTTTATTTGAAACCATAGATATTATCGAAATGAATATTATAATAGTTCACTAATTGTGAGCGGTCAATTCGTCTTCAACATATTTAAAAAATAATATGTTTTTAAGAAAACGCTATATCGCTGGAACTCTTCAACTGATCGTCAATTTAACGAATTTTTGGGAGGAAAAACGAAGAAATGCAATAAAATAGAAAAACAGGCGAAAAGTATTCGAATCATGTTGGAAACTTCTGCCCGCTTTACACTCTCCGCTGATTTAGATCTTGTAATTCTTCGACATGGTCTTGTGCATAATTTACTGGAAAACAGACAGGCAGACAAATTCAGCCTTCATTTTCCGAATGGGTGTATATTTCCATCTCTCCAACTCGATTTGTACTACTTGGAACAAGGTAATATTTACCAGTGTGTAGCCTCATATTGAATACACTTGATAGGTCATCTTTTTTCATTGACACAACAGGTGACGTAAATCATAACGGAAAATATAATTTGTTATGTGGACGATTGACAGCTGAAGGCAACAATGAATTATCAGTTTGTTATTATTTCATTACTCGTTAGGTTCCGGTATTCATCCGGAATAACTATAATAATGTGAGATAATTGACCAAAAATACTGGAGTAAGAATAATTTGGATACTATCAAGGTCAGCCGTCTTCGGTCAGGGTATACAAAGCAGGGCTTTTGATGGGAAAATTCCCTCAAGTATTAAGAGGGTATATTCCCTGACCTAGGTCCTAGGTCCTTGTTGCTTATGTTTCTTATTTATCAATTAAGAATTACAATTAAATACTGAATTAGATATTTTTCCAAAATGTGTTAACACGCAGTTGTGGATTGATAAGTCCCTGACGCACAGCAGATACCACCCACCTGTTGTTGAATGTTTTGAATCAACAAACATTGCGAGAGATGGATTCATTTATTTCTTCAGATATTATCTATCATAAAAACGTCATCAGTCATGAATGATTCGTAATCGTCTGTATGAATAGACACAACCTTGGTGATATGGCATTATTGACACGCTACTCTCCACAATTCACAAATATTATGTCTAAAATGATCCGCGTGATTTACAAAATTATGTCGTTTCAAGGGTTTAAGGAAATCCTTCGCAATCATTCATAAAAATGGAGAGAAAAAAACATTAACAATGTACATAGCGCCTTAAGTTGAGTCACGAGTTATTTTCAGGACTCTTATTCCTTGCCGCAAGGTCAAACTGTGAGAATATTAAATGTAAGAATATTTCTACAGGTGTAAAAACGACTGATAGGATCCGGTTCTCAGTTTCAGGAACCCCTAGAATCTGGAAATCAGCACATGAAATTAATATTGTTTTCAGCGGATGATTTAATGATTGGAAAATATGACCCGTATACTATCACCACATTTATAACATTGATAACAATTTTGGGTAATTGAAGTTTTATCCCGAATTCTTATCGTCTTTTATCTAGTCTATTTAATTAACTATTCAAGCACGTCATTCATTTCTGAGACACTAATGAATCCATGAAGAGTGGGAGATGACCCACCGACTTATATATAAGAGTGTCTGAAAAACCAAGTTTAGAAGTCAGTTGTTGAATATCGAAAAAACTTTATAACGTACAAGCCTTTGTAGAAAGCAGAATGTTGAAGAAATTAGCTGCCTTCGTTGTCGTTGCTGCGGTCTACTTCACATTAGCAGTGGCTGCGCCCCAATCCTACCTCAGTAAATATGCTCCTTGGAGGCATTTTATCGGTGGATAAACTGAAAAACTAATAGCTAACTTGAGGTGAGTGGACGATTTCAATGTACCATGGAAATATAAATAGTAAAAATATAAAATAGCATGGCCTAAGTTAGAAATTTGTGTCATTATAAGGTTCCTGAACATCTACCTCAACATGCGTGTTACCATGCCAGAAAAGGGCTCAACAAAAGGATCTTCTCTGGATTCTTCAGGAACATTGCAGTCGATGTTTTTTGTTGATATTGTATGGGCTAAAACATCATGAATAAAAGCTGAAATATATCTGAGCTATTGGTACATTCTCTGATGATTTAACCCATGATCTAGTATTTACCCATCTCCTAGTATTTAGCAGATTCAAACATTTTTTACACATCCAGATATTCTGATCTTGTCACTTCATCAAGCCTTATCACGAAATTTTCCCTGAAGATTCCTGTCTCCTTAGGTGTAAAACGGATTAGCACGTTACCAGGAGCAAGTGGAGTATTAAGGAGAAATAAGAGAAATGGAACGGGGAAATTTAATCCTTACACTACTCAGGGGAGAAAATTTCCGATTCCCCGAAATAACCGTTATATCTTCACGGGCATCAGCATTCAAGAAGGAATATTCTATTTTATTCCTATCGAGTACATACTCGAGATAAAACGCCAAAGAAACATAAAATTATCGTTCAGTTCTTTCTCCCAAAAAAATTTCTTCAACTCCGGGAATTCAATTGGTCGTTTATTTTCACGATTATTTATTTTTCTCGGTTTTGTTTTGTGATCAAAATATTTTAAATACTTTAATTTTTGCAATGGACTATTTACTTATTAATTAATCAATTTTCGACTTTGAGAAAAAATAAAATTGATGATGTCGTATAAACACGATTTGTTTTAAATTCTCCCGGTTAATTTCAGCTAAAAAAAAATATCACAAATATGTATTAATATCAATCATATGTAATGAATATAATAAGAAATTTCCACTAATTTTTTTTTAATGTGTAACAGAGATATTTTCTGAATTTATTATTTTCTCGTTTTCATTCCTAAAAAAACAAATGGATCAATCAATTACACGTGTTTAATTTCTTTTAAAAAATTCGTGGGAAAAATCTATAACATTTCCGGCACCCCCGGGCGGTCGATCAATCAAATCCCCGGAGTAGCTCAACGGTATCGAAGTGAAGTGAAGGTCAGCAATATTTTCGGGGAGGGTGTGCCTGTATAGTTCAGCAGACAATACCGCTCACCCCATTTTCTCCCCATCCATGAGCATTCAATATTTCTATTCCCGATTATGAAGGGTTTGATAATAGAATATAACTGTAAGAAGAATGTCACTCAATTCATCACATGAAATTCCAAAAAACACATAACAAAGTTTTGAGGTGTTGACAGTAGCAAATTACCGGACTAGTAATTAATATTTCCTATCTTTCGAGACTTGGACTTGTACTGAATTGCGGTTATTCGATTCGTGTTGTTGTCACCCTTTATTAGAGATCAAGACGAACAAAAGACTCACCTCTCCTCGCACTAATTATCAACAATTTAGTCGAGAGGAGGTGGTAATACCGCTCGTAACTAGTCGTCAAGTTGTTGCTCGACAGCAATCAAGTACTGATTTGATTATTTCACGAGCAATCGCCCGATACCTGCAATATCCTGTAAACGGTATAGAAATCGCAGCGAATAGAATTACCCAACTGCTGATTCAACCATTTTTAATTAATTTTAGGGATTCTAACGAGAATTAATCGTCTACATTTACAGGATAATAAGTTCAATAATCAAAGAAATATGGGAAATTTTCTTTACACAGGTCGAAATGCAAAATTTGAAAATAGAAATCGCTAATAGTAATAGCCACACTGCTGTATTATTTAATAGACTTGGAGGAAAAGAAAAGGTGAAATAAACTCAGCAAGACTCTTGGTGATCCTCTACTCTCTTCAGGGAAAGAAGTTGAGGGGGATAATGTTGTTTGCTCTAGTATGTTATCGCAGGAAAAAGGAGAAAACGTGTGGCTCCTTCGCGTGCAGCATAATGCTGCACACGGGATAAATGCCACTCAAGTAGTTGCAGTCTGTGTATGGTCGGACATGATCGTCTGGATTCTTCGAGCTCTCTTATCCCATTTTCCTTCTGGTACACGATTATCTCACAAAGCACATCCAGCCACATGATTACCATTCAAATTTATTCATAGAACTGGACGATGACGAGGATTAATTAAGTTAAAATTAAATACCCATTTGTTAAGTCAGATATAAAAATGAAAAATAACTCGAGTAAATGCTAATTTCAGAATTACTTGCATGAATTTACACTTGAGTTTTTTATATCATGCGAGAATTATTCATTTAATAAATTACCAAATTTATCATTTTTGAGAAAAAATGGCGGAGATGTTTCCGTTGAAATATTTTGGTAAGCAGAATATTTTTCTATTGGCATTTGTTTATGGAATTAATCGTTTATAATCAAGAAAATCAGGACGTCAAACTTTCAGAGTTTAACGGCCGGGAAATAATGTAGTAATAGTTGTGAAGTTTGGAGAAAAACTTTTCTACAATTAAACTTCACATTCAAGAATGAAACCTAATGACTTATGAAAATTACTCATCTCTTATTTTTACCCATTAATTAATTTCACAATAAAAAATTATGGCAATCTTATTATAGGTCTGAAATAATCATAATAATATATACAATAATTATAATAATGTGAAGAAAAGATGATGGATAATGATAATTAAAAAAAGAAGACAAATAACTACAAGTGACGCAGATCGTA